CTTTTTCTTCACCTTTTAGAACTCAAGAAAACGGAAATTTTCTGCATTTCCAAAAGTGATGGTGTGCAGTCCGCACATGCGTAGTTGTATTCTACGAGCCTGTAGAAATACAAACATAAATTTTCGGCATTCTACAAGCTTTAATTCTCGAGATCGAGAAATTTAGATTTTGGCTTGGACCACCTGACTAGGGAAAGCCATATTCGATAATTCTCGAGAACCAAGGCTTGTACAAAGCTGAAAATGCACGTTTGTGTTTCTACTGGCTTGTAGAATACAACTACGCATGTGCGGGCTGCACAGCATCACTTTTAGAAATGCACGAAAATTTCCTTTCTCTTGATTTCTAAAGAATGAATAAAGATGGAAACAGCGTATATAGATGTCTTATGTGGATAGCGTTTACATGAGCAAGTTAGAGTTTTTGTAGGATTTTTATGAACTGGGTTACGATTTTTCGCAATTTTTCGTGCAGCTGAATCGTTTTAGTTTTCGGCTCGAAACTCAAGGTTAATGAGAGCTGCTGCAAAAACAGGGTAGCCATTTTGTAGAGCTTGCTTTGATCTTTCGAATGGTACCTTGCAACCTATTCAAAAATGAAAAATGTGTGACTTACTGCGGTTGAAATTCAAAACGGACATGATTTTCCGGACAATCTGTCTTGTGTCTTCGTTTATTTGTTCGTTCGTTATAGAAACACCCGCCAATGGATTGAGCTGGGACTTTGCACACATATGTATTCAACCCCGGAGGTGATTCAGCGCTACTTTTCGCGGCGATTCGCTGGATCATCCTATTGATTTATTAATTTTTGGCATAAGAATGAGTTTTCGACATCGGAGAACAAGTCACTCCCATGATTTCGTGTAAACAATAGCAGTAGAGTTCATTCGATTTTCGGTGTAGGAAGGATGCTGGGATTCGAGAAGAGCCTACAGCGGGTGAGTTACCTTGATACAGAAAACCCTTGCAACGAAGCATAATGGCTAGGTGGGAAGGGGAGGCGCGGTGGCAGGGAAAATCAGCTAGTAACATAACAATCATAAGTGATAAAGTAAACTGCTCTATATCCCTAATTTTTCTTGTTTGTTATATTATTTCAGTTGTTTTTTATATTTCAGCGTCTTGGTAGGTGCTATTCAAATATCACCAGCTGTAAGACTTAAATGGCGCCCCCTTTGTTAACATCCATATTTTGGCGGGAACAGTACAGTACGGTCGAATCTTTGTAGAATTTTCTTAACTATCCGATCTACGCAAATTTATTTTTGGAGGTTTTTGAGCAATCAAGCAATAGATCTTACTACAGTACATTCTAATCTTTGTGGAATTTTTTCAATTACTCAATCCACGCAGATTCATCATGGGAGAGTTTGAGCAATTGAGCATTACTTGCATTATCCCCAAGAATAGATTTACTTTCTTTTGACGTATAGGGAGGGAGGGGTCGTACGGATTAGTACCGGGGTCAAGCATGTTGATGCAATCAGAAAGCCCATCTCACTGGCCTTCCCTCCCCATTGAAGGTAGTGAGAAAAATTCTACACTATACGGTAGTGTGGTCTAATGCTTGACTGCTCATAAACCTTAAGAGAATTCAATTTGCATACATTGGGTAGTTAGGCAAATTTTAGAAAGATCCGACTGCACCGTTTTGTTGTCGCCAAAAGATGAATGGTCCTGACGAAAAAGGACATCATTTTAGTCCTACTTACATTCAAACCGCAAAATGCCTAGACCAAATCATAAACAACTGAAATAAGATAACAACAGAGAAATTCAGAAGTGTTAGAGCAATTCACTTCATTAATTATGTTAACACTAATGATTGAGTGATAATAGATAAGAAATTCTTTGCGGATCATGAGTGTCTGGCATACTTCATTCAAGTTTTAATGAATGTACCTAAAAACATTCATCATGATTTTAGAGATAGGAAAGGTTTAATTCACGATGATACTCTTGAGTTCGATCTCTGTCTGCGACATCATGCTAATTTTAATGCCTAAAGAATGTTTTTGATTAAAAAGCATTTTTGCGAAGGTTTTACTGCAAATAAGGCCACATTGGCACCTTTCTTGAAGGCAGTGCTCCTGCAAAAAGACGGGTGCGGGGTTTTTGTGGCAATGTTAGAGTAGATCCCCCACCCAAGCGATGACTGAATTTCAGAGCAAAAAAAGGTCTGTAAAAGCCCAAAAAACTCGAAAAAGCCGAAGAAAGCCCAGAAAAGCCCGAAGAACCCGGAAAAAGCCCAAAAAGCCCAAAAGCGCCAGAAAGAGCCGGAACACTTGTCGCACAAGCACTAAGGCACCAAGGCATGTACGTTGACTTCGCAACCAAGTCTTTTTGGTTCATTTTCTGTCGCCTGCACGGCAAAATGATGTCAGAATACTACAAAAAGTTCGTTTCTGCGTTCCGGCTCTCTCTGGCGCTTTCGGGCTTTTTCCTTTTTCGGGTTTTTTGGGCTTTTTTGGGCTTAGCGCTTTTAGGCTTTTTTCGCGAAGTATGACGGGTCCCTTAGGCTCCCGCCAGAGTGCCGAAGCCACGCCAGCCCAAGCTAGCGCCGAGCTGCCCCGCGCTCTCTCGATCGATACATATGCATTTTGTTGGGGCGGGGCTAGCTGACCTAATTCTCAGCCAGGTGAATGCACCGACTATTGAGAATTCGCCAGAAGCTCCGGTGACCCTTGCCCGCACAGGGCCATTTAGCCCCGCTTCGAAGAAACGGGACAGCTCGGCGCTGGCTTGGCGCCGGCGCAGTGCTGGCGTGGCTTCGGCACTCTGGCGGGGGTCTTGCGTAGGTTCGGGCGAGTGTGAGATGCATGCAAGGTAAAGATGCAGAGTCGTTGCGGGACCCTCGCTCATAACTGTGTGCGCTATGCGTGTCATAGCCTTGCAGTTCGGAGTCGCTGTGCGGGCGGCATATGGGCCTGGCGTAAGATCCGGACTACTTTCGGAGCACTTGGTAGATCCCCTTTTCGCTCCGAATCTCAGTCATCGCCTAGATAGGGGGCCTACTTTAACATCGCCACAAAAACTCGGCACCCATCTTTCTGCCGGGACGCTGCCTTTAACGATGTCAGAAACGTGCATGAGCACGGTACTTTGAAATTCCTAGCTAAAGTGAGGGAAAGGCTGAAAGGCTGCAATGAACAGCGATTTCAGTGAGCTGGAAAAAATTTTTTTTGTGACAGCAAGTAAAGGGATAATGTACTACGCTACCATAGCTCCAAAGACATGCAGATGCGAACCCTTAGTCATCACGACCTCTTTTTTTATTACTCGTTGCCTTACTTGAAATCATAAAAAAACAGAGGTTATGCAATGAGACCGACTTTGCATAGACGTAGAGGACATCTCCAAAGTGCAGCGAAATTGTTGGGCTGTACGTAAAACATTACAAAAACATTTACATAGTACTGATGATTATCGGGTAGAGATATGTGCTTTGTCGAACATGTAAGACTTCAGTGACTTCCGAAGCACCACTTCTGGGTCATTCGGTAAACTCAACATGCCTTACCACACATACGTGCCTTTACAGTGTTTAAGCTTTTGAAAGTTTTTTTTCAAATATTTAGTTGTTCTTACCCGCCATTGATACAGAGCATTTGACGGGTTTTTTGCAAAGAACATGTGTTGAAGGCTTGCTGTTTAATTTTCTTCTGAGCTTAAGGTATTTTATTCAAATCCCCCCCCCCCCCACCTCGCTCCACACCGTGGGCCCTTCTTGCGATAATCGCAGCATACGCTTGGCCCTGATCCAGATCATTGCATCATTTTCATTGCTAACACCCTTCGACCTCCGTCTGTGCTTCTGAGCTATACTTCCGCCTTAAGCACTTTTAGTTTGAAGCTGCATGCCAGCTACACTCTTCAATAAAAACTCCTATCCCATACTAAACTCGAATGCTAAATGTCGTTATCGATCGAGGCTGTCTCATGTTGACTCGAGCCTACTACAATGTTCAGTAGATACTTTCTGAAAGGAATGTTTCAAAAGCCTAGAAGCTTGTTGTAAAATCCGTCCACAATTTTATTCTAATTTGTCACACTTGCTCAACATGCAAGATTTCGCTCAACATGCAAGGTTTTGGAGGGAATTCTTCGCGATGGTGCTATAAAACCTTACTTCAAATGCTACTGTCTAAAGCACAAAATGATTTCCTAGTGATCAACAATGTTTGCTATTAATTCATCCATATGTCATTCATTCCTTTTATGTCAAGAAATTGTGCAGAACTCCGAACAAGCGGTAATCTGATGGTGCGATGTCTGGATTATACGGTCAATGTAACAAGACTTCCCACCCAAAGTCCAGCAGCCTGCGCTGCGTCTTCATAGAAACGTATGGTCTAACATTGTTATGATGGGAGATGATTTCTTTTTTATCGCAAGTTAAGGCCTTTTCGCTTCACCGCTTCCTTTAATTTTGAATGCTGCAAGCTGTGCTTTTCTTTCGCAGACATTGTGAGCGGCTATAGCGAAACTTTAACGACCACAATTGATTATTGCACTAAAGTGAGCACTGGACCTTACTGCCTAAGTTAGATCACAAGTTAAGCATTTTCGGTCCCAGCTAAGCCAATTAGAGCCACCGCTTTGCCTATGGAAAGCGGGTAGAACTTTTTAAACAACCCTATATCAACTGGGATCATGCGGAGTCGTATATAGCTAGCTACTACTACGGTTTGCCTAAGTCGAAGCTACACTGCTTATGCTTTATAGTAGTCTACAGCTGGTAAAGGCGATGCGATAGGTATTTTGAAATGACTCTTCATTTGTGATGAGTGGAACTCAAAGAAAGATAAAGATTTGTAGCAAAGTTTGGATGTTTGAAAGAGGCTCAATAACTAATTTTTTGACAGCAGATGCGGTTTTGCCCCTATGTTTTATGCGTATTATCAATTCGATAGGAAGAAAAGTATGATCTCAACTCTAAGGGTAACCACGACAATAAGAGCGAATAAAAGTGTTTTTAATGACGTTGCTTTTCTTATTCACAAAAGATGTTCGTCTAAGATTAACTGTTGACGATAATCAAAATCCTCCAGCTCCATGTCAGGCATATATGGGGGAATCTAAATTCGTTTTATATCAAAAAAGCAAGTTGCAAACATGACATCACATACATCTGTCAAAGTGTTATCCGATTCTTCTTCCTTGCGTTTTTCTGAAATAAAAAGGCAATAACGAATTGCAAAATTCTGACCATTTCCATATGATTCTCATGAGATAACTAACTGGTGATGAGGATATTTAGAAGTTCCTACTTTTTTCGGTGTTAACGCCTTTGAGATCAGACACTGCTACTGGCGGAGGTGTCTTCAGTGGTGGAGGAGCTCTAATGGTGAATCTTGTAGTCACTATTGGCAACTTTCAGCACTTACTTTGGAACTGCGACGGGTGAAGGTTTTTGCTGTTTGTTTGATTTCTTATCCTTCTGAAGAGGAATTCTCTTTGTTGATGACCATAAAAACGTACGTACTTTTTTATTCTTTCCTTTGTAGCCAACACACATTAGCAGATAGCCGCCGTACGCTTATTGCAACTCTACGAAATAAATTGTACTATAGAGTACCGATGTTTGCGCTGTTGATAAACAATAAGTATCTGAACTGAAACACTGAATAACAAATTCCGTTAGATTATTCATAGGTATCCCTATCCCTCCTTTGAGCGGCTGTGTCACTTCTTTGCGTTCTTGCCTATTAGGTTTTTTACTTTATACGTCATTTGAGCACGACTAGTTTTTGCAAAGACGGTTTTTCAAATTGATATAGTCGTTCCACACAATTGTTTGAATATTTTCCACCTTCTCGTTCTTACGTCTTCTTTGTTCTTCTTAATTCATTTCGTATAATCGCTACGACTAATACGAAGTTGGGTCATTTGCTCAAATCAAACAGGACTTGATCTTAAGTCCCCAAAAAAGATTGCCACAGTCGTCACGCCCGAAGCTGTAGACATAGAGAGCAACATTGAAAAAGAGCAATTTTGAAAGTGAAACGTTGGAAAATAGGATTAATCTTTTACTCTCGAAAAAACAGTTATTCTCTCAATTGAAGGCTCTGGTTCTACAGAAAAATTTCTCTAGCAACGCCATGCAAATCTGGACACATGGGCATTGCAGAAAATCGATGGAGATCTAACTGGGGCATTACTCAAGCGGCAGCGCAAACAATTTTGGATGAGAGATTCTATCAGACTCGGGTGCCGTATTTGGCAAAAGAGTTGTGGATTGCGTGCTATGACGCGAGGACCCATGGCCCTCCTAAGGAATCTCTCGCAGAATGCTGTAATGTAAGTCGGCCGCTAGTTACGTGATAAGTGCTTGGACGCTGCCTTATATGAAGAAAAATATCGCGACAATATCACAGAAAAAAACAAAAAAAAGAAGCCAAAAAACAAACTCGTCTTTGCACCAAAGTATAGTCAGGATTTACTGTTTAGTCTTCGCTGGGCTAAAACTCTTTTCAATGTTTGCTTTCACTATTCCGATTCTATAAACTATCACACTTTTTTTCACACATCGCCAACGAATGGAAGAGCAGAAGGTAAGCCCGAAAAGAAGAAAAATGTGCTCAGAGGCGTACTGCGATAAAGTCTCGAACTTTTCAAAAAAAATTTCAAGAAACGCTAGCCTGCGCAATCCACTTTAGTTCTTTATCACCATTTAACGATAAAGCGCTAAAGCAGTCTCTCTGTTTGCGTGTATATCTGCTGTCAAGAAATTCGGGAAAAAAAAGAACGAGGTTTGAGATGTTTTTACCCGAGAAGGTGAGTACCATACCTAATATGTCACTACTTACAACCAAATCAGGAAAAAGTAAGAACGTGGAAGGGAGGGGGGAGGGGGGGGGGAGTGGGCAGAGTACCGCAAGGTCATGCAATGCGCATGTGCGGCCGTGATTCTGTTTCGCCTTTATCTCCAAACCCCAGACCTTACAGACTAGGGTTTGTGCTCACTTTGCAGTAAGCGTCTTTTGCGAAAGGATTGGCTTTTCCTGAACAGTTTGTTCATAACTTACCACCATAAAGAAATTGGCACCCTATTATCCATTTATTAGCCAGCTTCTACTTATTCGAACTCATCTGCATTACAAAACATTTGTAGTTAGACTGCGATGCGAACAAGCTGCCTTTGTTTGCAGTCAAATGATTGTAACACATTAGAAAACATAGCTTGGATTTTGTTGTTGCCTTTTTATATTCAGAAGTTAATCATGTGCTTGATCATCGCTTTTACACATAGCTCAGAAAAGCGAAATGGCAACCATGCAACATGGAAGTGTGAATGAAGTTGTTCGCAAAGCTAATTTCGCTCAACCTGTGGTAACAGACAAATCGCTCGGCTTTTGTATTAACGGACGAAAGGTAATGGCAAACTTATAAGCTGGCATTCGGGTAGAACCAAATGCAGGAGCACGCTGTTTACGGAACACAATTAGAAAAAATTTTATTTCGAAAGTGCAAAAATTTTCACATCCAATGGCTATGTTCAATACCTAAAACTTACTGATTATCTACGATTCATCAGGATACCAAAAATTCTGAAGTTAAACTGATTACATGTTACACGTTGAGTTTACTCTCATTCTAAGACGAGATAAGCTGTTCAATGCACCATTCACACAGCTGTGTCCACAGGTTGGGACAAACACAACAGATGAACCAGCATAATCAATCATCATCATCAAAACTTTGCCATTTTATAACCCAAATCAAAATTGGAAAACATCAAAATCGAGAAACTTCCTTTGTTTTAGTTCTTATATTCCTAAGTGTTTCAGCATTCTCCTCAGCGCCACTTTGTCCTTCTTTTCTATCTCCTTCCTTAATTAATTTTCCATTTCTCGGTTCAGCCACTGTGATCCCAGCTGGCTCTTTAGTCTTTCCTCCTTCGATATCAGGTTTTGCAGTGGGTGTTTTTTTCGGAAGTAGTCCATCGGTAAGCATTTTCTCCAGTTTTACCACAGGCACTTCAAAAAGGCAACTCCAGAAAAATGAGAACACATAGGAGACAACTATGGTAGGAATGACCATGTAGATGTACTGCAAAGTAACAATGAGCAAAAACAGTCAAATTTATCAGACTGGCATACCATGCGCCAAAGGGATGTAAAATGTGTTGGTCGGTCGTCTAAGTTGTGAATGTAGCGAAGAAGAAAGAAATGCGTGATGTAGCCACAATATGACAACCTGCCTAATGGTTGCCACGCAGGATGATCCATAAATTTCGCAATCAAACCTGAAATTTCTTATCATGTCTGCGAAAAAAACTTTATAAGCCAACCTCCCCATCCCCAATGATTTGCCATGATCACCCAAGCCACTGCCAATGCCCACCCAATTCGTGAGAAATTGTTGTATGTTGCGCTCACAACAGAACTGAAATGAGCTTTTATGAACTGTTTATAAATAGTACCAGCTGATATTGAATTCCTTCTGAAAATTAAGCTCTACCGCTCCGGATGCTATCGATCTCTCTCAGCTGCAAAGGCAGTGCATCGCAAACATTGCATAAGGTTAATCGGCAGGTAAACCTACTCGCAAAACCTGCTGTTTGTACTCCATTTTTGAGAGCCGCCATGCGTACAAGTCAGCGCGCATTGATTATCGTAGCTAATAAAGACTATACAAAACCACACTAGAGTGGGACATACATTATGTTTAATATTCTTTCTTCTTTGCAAAATTTCGAAACGAATGACTCTATAAAAAATGCGAGAATGTAATTACTCTACCATCAAACCCTGCTCGTAAATAATGTTAGATTGACGCTTGAATAACACCAATTTTTCTTTTGGAATTCTATGTTGAACCGCACTATTTCTTTTCTGAAATTTTTCAATCGCACTAAGGGTTCAGGTCACCTTTGGCGACACAACTTATTTTTTGCATGGTTGTGTACTACGAGGAAGATTTTTCAACCCAAAGAATGTCATGTGATTTTGAAGCTTCCAATATGGAGGAACGTAACTTACTTTAGTAGCAGGATAGCGCACAGTCTGTGTAATACGTAAGCTCAGATTCAATGTTCTATGGGAAAATACTGCTGAAAACCGAAAATCGAAAGTATAGACGATTCGTGACACGCAAAGACTGCGGACGTATCAGCGTCCCTCTGATGGAGTGGTTCTCTTCCATGCACGAACTATCTTGGCCGGACGCAACGGCGCTCAGTCTTTCCGTGTCATAAATCGTGTATTCTCCTTTTTTCGCTTCTCAAAAGAAGCCAAAAGTTGCCTATCTTAAAAAATTTGAAATTTGTCATTGTTGAAAAGTGAAAGAATTCTGAGGTCCTCACTACTTACGAGGGAAGTACTTTCAATGGCAGTGGCTGTTTGATATGAGATGCACATCATCTGAAACAGCTTCGAACGCTGATATCAAATCTGCTTTCCGTTTCTGCGGAATGCTCTTCTGAAGAAAGTTATGGAAGCCTGAACATTCTATTTTGGGGGCGCTCCTTGAGTTTGAGGGCTGCAATGTGCGTTGGTGGTGCAGTAGTGTAATGATTACTTGCTGACATTTGATGCGAGAGGTTGATGGTTCAAATGCGGTGGAGAACGAGCTATTTTGCATTTTGAATGTGAGTTTAAAAGCACTCTAAATCGTCTGCAGACACTTATTGTAATGCCTTAGCACAAACAGGAGAGAACATCTTTTCGACTAATGACAGTTTGCATTTTATGAGCTTTATGTGGTGACAAACGTGCTAGGCCATGTTTGGTCCTGTTTACTAGTAAGGAAGTCGAATAGAATTTCAAACTCTCATTACAAGCAGTTTTGCCAAAAAATTCTTTTTCTAGGTCACTTATGCCAAAGGCATTACAGTAAGTGTCTGCAGGCGACTTAGATTGTTTCAAACTCACTTTCAATAAGCAAAATAGTTCGCTCTCCACCGATTTGAACCATCAACCTCTCGCCTTCAATGTCAGCAACTAACTACTACATTACCGCACCACCAATGCACATAGCAGCGCCCTCAAACTCAAGGAACGCCCTCAAAATAGAATGTTTAGGCTTCCATAACACACTTCAGAAGAGCGTTCCGCACAAACGGAAGCGGATTCAAAATCAGCGTTCGAAGCTGCTTCAGATGATATGCATCTCATATCAAAAGACCACGGCCATTGATAGTACTTCCCTTGTTAGTACAAAACTACTCTGCCGAGAGTAGAAGATCCACAAACGCTTTTCGCTTAAGAAATCTATGCGACATAGAGAATGTGTGGCTATTGTCAAGTCTGTGTAAAAATTTCATTGCTTAAGAGCCGAAAATCATTTATATGAGGTCCTTTCGAAAGTAATGTCGCTTTTTTCAAATGGATGCCACATATCGCGGAACCAAAATTTCCAAGTGATCTTGGAAGCCTTCGATGCAGCAGTTCATACTCTTTCTTGTGGTTATGAATACATTGCATGATATTTAATGAGCTCTCGAAAAGTCACCAAAATCTACAACTTTTGCTTTTTGCCACCGTCAAATTTGGTTATTTTTCCAAATTCTTGTATTGATTCCCTCAAGAAGTGCAAGTAATTGCCAGATAGAGCAAACCTATAGGGTACGGAACAATTTTTTCTTTTCCTTAGCTTCCCTCTTAAAATTTTTAGAACCGTTCCTTTAATGCTTGGTCAACTAAAACCTCACGAAATAATAACCGGCGAGCAATTTGGGTGTCATTCGATGCAGCTTTTTCTCCTCTTTCTACTAGTCATTCTTTGTTTCTGGTCAATAAAGTTTCAAAACAAAATCATAAAAGATAAAATCATCATAATTCAGATTTTCCAAGGCCCCCCACGCTATACCCGGAATTTCCGAAAGTTGCTAATCTAAAGCGGCAAATGCTCATTTGCTTTATAGTGTCAAACCATAAATCACCAATCAATCAATAAAAGTTTTAAAATCCAATACTTTATCGGTGTCTGATGCATTTCTGTCTGCGACGAGCTTACTAAAATTCGGTGGTTCCAGTAAAAAATCTATACAATAATTATGACGGGCTATGGAAAGACGAAAAATATGATGCTGTTTCTGTACGGGTTTTTCTATCCAGGCATTACTTGAACTCCTTCCGAGGGTTGCTACAAAAATTTAGAAAAATTGTGATCACTTCTTAAGCATGATCGCAGTTTTGGGTAATTTTCCAAAAGCCCATTGAATAATATGCACGAGATTAGAACCATTAGAGAATGAATGAAATGCTGCATTGAATGCTATCAAGACCACTCATAAATCTTTGCTCCACGAAATGTGGCGTACCTTTGAAAAAAACGACAATACTTTCGGAACAACCTAGTAAAAAATCTTTCAGCAGCAAAAAGCTTTGGAATAAGAGTTTTTGAAAAAATATGGCTTATTTTCGAATCTAATGGCGACTTCATAATTTAGAACAAAGTAAAAGAAGCGAATTTTATGCCCTTGCCTTAGTTTCTTTCAACATGAAACTTGAAAACGAGCGAAGCTCCACAATAACGAAAGCATGTATAAATTGAAAAAGAACCTCTCTTAAACTTCATGGAAGCTTCGTAAGAGAATCATATTTTTGAAGGACAAGCGCCTGAAAAAGAGGCGACAAAAACCTGCATCAGTTGTGGATCAAAATAGTATCTGAGCAGTAGGCAGAGCCCGGCACGAGGTGGGCAAACGGGGTTTTCCAAAACGATACTAATGATATATATAACGATATATATAAAACTTTGATCCCAATATTTTTTACGAATACCCCCTTAAGCCCAAAAACGATGCTTTGTGCTTGTGCAACGACAGCACCAGCCACACTTCGCCTAAAGGAGCACAAAAGCGCCAAATGCTCAAATCTGTCCAATTACTCCTCACCTGTATCAAATAGAAATCAGGAAGAAGAATAAGCAAGAAAATGATGAAGGAATGAAGAAATATCAAAGTAATGCAGTCATAGGACTGAAAGACGCCGTTCCCGCGCGTATCGATTGACTGGGGTGCGTTTCCATCTTAGAAAGCTATGCTGCTGATGCGATTTGGGGCTTCAACAAAGACAAGAGTAGGAGTTTCAGAACCAAAATCCTACCATATAGTAAACTTTAGGTGTACTCGTTTTTGAAAGAATGTTCTTTTTAACGAGTGCTTATCCATAACCGCTGATCTCCTTCCGTTTTTATCATTATGTGAGCTATGATTGTTTATGTGACATCCGCTCAGTATAGCTCAGTCGTCCGTTGCGAACATCTACATCCCGTACGGACATCTAACGAAAGCGGTGGTTCCCTGGTATGTCTTTTTTCATCACAATTTTTGTAGCACTAGATTGGGGGAAGAGCCGAGAACTGGCAAGGCCTGGTGGAGACGTTTGATGGGCTGGAGTTACGGATGAAGCTTTGAACCATTCCAGGCCTCTGATGAAACGAAAGCGTCTAAACGTAAGGCCGAAGAGTACTGACAATGAAAGGACCACTCAACAACCTGTTCAGCACAACAATTTTCGACAATTTTCAATTTTTCATGCATTGTTTCTTAGTCCTACTGCGCGTATACACACCAAGTCTTGCGCGATTTCCTTTTTTCTGCGCTGCAAAAGAGCCATCTTTCCATTTTCTTAATAGTGAGAAATTTTCAGAAAAAAGCTTGCCACAACCTTCAGTCACATAATTTTCCAATGAAATTCTGAGATGTAAGCTCTGAGGGCCCGTGTTCAAGTGACAACCGAGTTTCATACCGTATGGTCGTCTGTGCGCTGCAAACGAGCCATTTGAATACACATCTTCATTTACCAATTTTGCAAAATTTTTGGAAAAAATGCTTATAACACCTCCCATTCACATAAGTTCTCATAACATTTCAAACTTTGTTTCATCGTTCGTTACGTAGTTTGCTGCTATATCGTTACGCCTGCATTGAGAACTGACCATGTAATCATGCTGTTCAATGGCATCGCTTATGCGACGTCGCGCACGCGGCAATCAGCGGCGCGGCGTAGCGCGCGCGAACTTTGCTGTGCGTTGAGGCTTATGAAATCTACTTTCCAATGAAATAGATGTATAAGGTAATAAGCATAATTCGACCTTCTTTTGCTTGCACTTGGAATCTTCTTCCGGAATCCGCCGCGAACCCCGCAAAAACGATTTCCCCCTTGCTTTTTCCACCAAAAACGATTTCCAGCTTTTCATTTGCCCACCTCGTGCCTGGCCCTGGCAGTAGGTAGTTTGAACTGCACTAAGGTATTGTTGAAACGAAGAAATGGAAAATAATGCAACGTGCTGTTTGAGGAAAGCGTACCAATGTAAAACAAAAAAATGTCAAAACGTTGAAAAAAATGTTTTTTGTCAAACAAGATGTTATTTGAGGAAAGCGTAGCAATGTAAAACAAAAAATGTCAAAACGTGAAAAAAATGTTTTTTGTCAAACA